GGCGAGTTTGTAAGGGGCAACTTTGATAGGGGGAGAGATTGAAAGGGGCAAGTTTGATAGGGGGGGGCGAGTTGACTGGTTCCCCATTTTATTAATCAATGCATTCATCTAGATACATTTTATTCATTAATTCATCTATTATAAATTATACTCTTTAACTTGTTATATTTCATTTTCATTGTCTCAGGCTAGTAGTAGTATTAGTAATGTGCTGCGCTTTTGTACGACGTCGACGGTGACAACAAAATTCGGCAAACTTGGTTAGACCTAGGCTAGGCGGGATATGACCGGTTGAGCCGCCGACAAGTTGAGCCGCCGGTAATTTCTATGGAACACCAAGCGCGTCCCTCAGTGAATGTAGTGCGTCTCTCAGTGAATGTACAGTCGGCTTGCCGATGTCATCAGTGAATGAACCCCCCCGGATACCAGCTACATATTCATCCCACAGTCTTGTCAGTCGTTGATTTGCTCGTATTGTCGTTCGTGATTTTGATTATTTTATGTACTACATTTTTATAAAAATAAATGAAGTTGTATAATTGCAAAATCGTATTAAAATATGTAATTTTATGTACTACATTTTTATAAAAATAAATGAAGTTGTATAATTGCAAAATTAAAAATGTGTTTATTTACGTTTGGTTTGCGGCGTATTTCAATTAACTTATTCGTTATTTGTACTATTTTGTTAAATTATTTAATTACATTATTTATTATATATAAGTTTAACAAATAGTACAAAAATAAAAATATATAAATTATAAAACCATAGTAAATACTGTATAATAACATAGGCCTAACACATTTAAATTTATTGTTTATAGTCATGCAAAATCGTATTAAAAATGTAATAACTTGATTATTTTTTACGCTTGGTTTGCGGCGTATTTCAATTAACAATTAAATTGAAATAATTGAGTAAATAAACTGATTTACATCCCAAACAACAATACCAAGAACGAATAAGTTAATTGAAATATGCCACAATTAACGCACTACAATCACTGAGAGACGCGCTTGAATAGAAATGACCGGCGGCTCAACTGGTCATAATCCGGCTAGGCTTAGCTTAGGTAAACTGAGATTTCATGTTTTCGGAGAACTGCATTCGGCAAAGTGCCCATACAATACGGAGCTAGTGCACTTTCGCACCTAACTTTAATTCTTAATTTTTTTACTTCAGCGTTCTTCCGATTATCAACACTAGGCCTAGACTAGTTGGGTCCAATCGCCTGTCACCACTCTAAAGCTCTAAGTAAGCCTCCTAGCTAGGCCCTACTAGGGCCTACTACCTAGGCCTAGCTAGCCTAGGCCCAGCCTCTACCTAGCCAGGCCTGATAAGTAATCCAAGCTTAACTTATTAACCATCTGACGGTATGACGATTTGCACCGAAAAACACCAAATTCTAGAAAAGATCGGCGAAAGATCTATCAAAGAAAACAAAAGTTCTTACTGGAGCAAACAAGAGCCATATTCTGAGATTGATTAATCCTAACTTTCTCTGCTAGTGGCTAGGCCTACATACACAGCATTTAGCAATATGGAGCCCAAGCGCGCGGCGGCGAAAAAATAAAAATGTGTGGAAAAGAAGGTTGGCAGAATATTTTACCAAAATGCTCCTATTTTTTATTTTTATTTATTTTTTTATTTTTATTTTAATTTACTTTGTGAACATACGCCTTTAGATAAAAAATGCAGTGAAACAAAATATAAAATTCATACCTCGCCAAAGTGTTTTTATATTTTTGGTAAGCAGAGCAGGTAAGGATGGTTTACACGAGGTGACGAATATCCGTCGAAATGCCGTATAAATAAACTGCAATTATGTAAATAATTTTCACACGAACATAACGAATATCGTAATCAGTATAAATAATCTTAATTATTATCCTAAATTAGTTAATTACTAATTAACTAATAAGTTAATATAAACATTGTGATCTATAACTATAATTTAATAATATATTTTAATTATTAAATACAAGAATCGTGCAACAAATTTTTCAGGTCAGAAATTGGCGTCAAAAGTAGTAATTTTTCAATCGCGATCATCGTATTTGTCGGTTCATCCAGCGACGATAAACATATAAT